GACGGACTGACTGGTATTGCTAATATTGGAATAAGAAAGTACTGGGAGTGCTGACGGTGTACTTTGTGTCAGCGGATCCCTAGTAAAGGAGATCTGTAACAGATCATTCGGCGGTATTTACAATCGAAAGTAAAAAGTTTATTACGTTGTTTAGTTTTCATAAAATTGATGGATAAAAATATTCTTTCCACATTTGCAGATGAGTGTGGCCAACTCAAAACTTTGAATACATAAAAACAAACTTTTTAAACATGCGTTAGCCATCTCCAAATTTTATGCTATTCACTCTTGTCCAAAATTATTCTGTTTTTTCAACGACTCATTTTTTTTCGATTTTCAATTTGTTTCGTATTTCGAAGCAAACGCCATATTCTGTATCAATTTTTTGATAACTATTGCTCACTAACAAATCGGGGATTGTCTACAAATTGGTACTATTGTCGCAAGTTCACCTTTTTTTTATATTCTCCGGAGAGAATGCCCCTAAATCTTTTAATAGATTATTTTTAAGCACAAATATTTGTGTGATTTAAGCACTTGCTTCAATAATAAATTGAATACACCTTTTTTGTTTGGAACAAGTGTATTTTTCCGTATTGTATGTTTTATCTGTAATCAAAGTGAGGGTAAATGGCATTTTCTCTGCAATAGACATCTTTGATATTAACAAGGTATGTAGATTTTATAGTCGACATTTTCAAGATTGTTTTTTTCTAAATAATATTTTTTCAAAAAACAATCAAATAGAGATTTTAAGCTATTACAAACATGTGAATACAAAACATGTATTCTTGCAGATTCAGACTGCATTTCTCGATTTAATTTATTGAAAATTGCCAAAATAAAATATAAAAACTGATGAAAGAGTATTTCTATCAAGTTGTTTAATTTACTCAATATGTTCGTAGCTGTAGTGACATCATCATTCAGGGAAGCACCAATAAAAATAATTTTATAGCCTGATATTGCTCCAAAACTCTTGATTTCGCTGCATAATATAAAAATGATAATTGTATATTTTATTGATGTGATTATTAAATAAAATTATATACTTGATGCTTCTATCTGCAAGAAAACTGGCTATTCAATTGCATAACTTCTCGGGAAGCCTATAGAAAAGAAGCTACGTAAGAAGCGCTTTGTGCCAAACCCGCAGTGCTATTATGTAAAAATGAGCAATTAACAGTAATCGCCCAGTGACCGCGCAGTAGACAAACGATCAATCGCTTTGTTTAAAAAACTTTCGTATAACGTAAATGATCACTTGCTAATCGTCCGCTGTGCACTTATCGCGACGACACTAACGCCAATAGCAATTTGGTAGTAAAAGCTAGAAGTATTTGATGTCAATGGGATGTTAATTAAACAAATGGTTAGAATTGCGCAAAATTTTAAAAGTATCGTAGTAACCTACTCGATACAAGGTATCGAATCAAAAGTATGGATTTTAATAAAAGTATCGGCTTTTTCCACAGGGTATTTATTTTCATAAGAACAGACCTAGTCGATTATAATCTCATCAGTTATTTAATTTTACTTACCTCTGAGTATGTATTTTAAATGTTTTGTTTAGTTAGAAGTATTACCGCTAGATTTCATAGCTTTAAAACAAATTTTAATATCGTTGAATTTTGATCAACTTTCCTAAATTATTTCTACACATCACTTTGTCCTCCGCCAGGAGGTCGCATTCTGAAGAAGCAAACCAAGCAGAGCACCTGAGTCAACAATAAATGACAATAAAATTCACTTTTATGAACTTTTTCGTTTCGACGACGGACTTAACGTAAAATATTGCCATTAACTAATTGTTTTTTTATTTTTTCTAAATCATTGCCTCTATATTACGATTTTCTCCTGTATCGTAGGGCCAGTTTACAAACATAAATTTCACAAGGACAAACATCCAGACCCGGAACAATTACTTGTAGGCCATACAAATACTTGTTCCGTGCGGGATTCGAACCCGAGGCCCTTAGCTCTGTAACTCATTGCTAAGCCACTGCACCACGGAGTCGTGTAGCTATTAATAAATATTGATAAATTTCTTAACGAAAATAGTCTAATTATTTATGACTGATAGGTAGACTAAACTTAATCAACATAAATAGACAAATGACACATTTAAATCCAAATATTTTGCATATTATATATATATATATATAATTCATCAAAATTACGAGATATTGCTACTAAATGTATTTACCTGGTCCCGCGTGCATTATTCAAATTCTAATAGGGGTTTTCCCCCAAAATCCTCACTCCATCGAGAAGGATGACTCTATACATCGGAAAAGGAAGTACTATCTACTGCCTTTTATCTGACGGTTTAGTTAAGAGACAAGAGTATCCAGTAACAAAGAAAGTATCGATACTTTGTAAAACACTCTAAAAGTATCGAGTACAAAAATACTAGGTATCGAACTGAAAGTATCGATACTACTCGGGTATCAATAGCTAGGGGTGATTGATGTTGCAGAAACGTCAATCACCCCTATCCCTATCGAGATGACATCGATGTTGACATCGATAGCTCAACATCGATGTTCAATATTTATCCTACTCAAAACATCGATGTTGGCCATCCTCGACGTTTTTTTGCACATGTATATAATAGGTTAGAATTAGATGAATAAAAAATAGTCACGTTTTTTATGGTTTTTTATCAATGTAATAAAAGAAATTAACACATTCAATGCCTTTTTAAATAAGTGATTCATTAATTGAGCCCTATTTGGTCACCCGGGGGCCGTTTTATTTTATTATCCATCCCGGCTCATAGTAACTTGTTTAGTTTCTAAGTTGTATAATCTGTACCCTTTTACATTGTCTGGGTAACCAAGTAAGATATACTTGACAGCCTTTTTGTCCCATTTAAGTCTCTTATTCTTTGGTATATGTACCATTACAGGACTACCAAACACTCTGACGTGACTTAAATCAGGTTTTCTGCATGTCCATTTCTTAAATGGTGTAATATCCTAGACCTGAAGCCGGCGTCCTATTTTTAAGGTAAACTGCCGAGTTCTCTGCCTCTGCCCAAATTTTTTTTTCTAATTTAGCCTCAAAGAGTAAGCATTTAGCACGTTCAACTATTGTCCTGTTGAAGCGCTCACAGAGGCCATTTTGCTCCGGGGTGTACGGGTTGGTCTTTTGACGAACTATCCCTTGAGTTTTCAAATAATTTTCCATCTCTTGGGAACAAAATTCTCCTCCATTATCTGTTCTGAGCACTTTAATTTTATTTCCCGTTTGGTTCTCCACCAAACTTTGGTATTGCTTAAAGTACTTCAATGCTTGATTCTTTTCTCTTAAAAAATAAACAAACGACAATCGACTGGCGTCATCAACAAAGAGAAGAAAATATCTGGCCCTGCCAAGAGATTTAGACTCCATAGGCCCACATAAATCTGAGTGCACCGTCTCTAACAGGAATTCACTCCTATGATTGGCTGATGGGAAAGGCAAGCGAGACTGCTTACCCTCACAACACACAACGCAGTTGGATTTCTGGTCTGGATCTTTATAGGATACACCATCCACTGCACCATTCTTCATTTTCTCTAAGTCACTACTGTTGATGTGCCCGAGTCGCCTATGCCACAGTCTTGCTTCTGATGTGTGTACTGCCGAAGCTGCTAACCCCACTGACTTCACTGTGTTTAGTTTGTACACCCATTATTTAAACTTGCTACTCCAATCAGCTTATTCTGCTTATTACAGATATTACAACAATTCTTTTCAAATGAAACTGTATTTCCATTTGCTATAAGCTGGCTAACAGATAGGAGGTTAGTTGTGAGGTTGGGTATGTACAACACATTTTTCACATGAATGTCAAACAGATCGTTGTTTACACATGTAGTTAATAGTGTATCGCCTGTTCACAGTTAACTGGCATAGATGTTTTATTCGCCACAACTATTTCATTTATCTCGTGTTTCCGCATATCCCGTAAACTGTAGCGGTTCGCCGTCATATGGACACTGGCACCAGAGTCAATATACCAATCTTCAGTACTGAATTCTCCATTAAGGAATGCTACACTAAAAACACCTGCTTCCTTAAGTTTCAATACAGGACATTGGTTTTTATAGTGTCCAATTTTCTTGCATTTATAACACTTTATTTGTTTACTTTCTGATGACATTTTTTTTTTGACTTCGACTTTGACGTTTGTCTTTGCTTGGAATGAACAGTGCTGCCACCTTTGGTTCGACGATTCGTCCAAAACGCTGTTTCCGGTCCACTGTTGCCAACATCACAAGACATATCAAGAAGCTTCGTTTTGATGACGTCTGCACTAATGGCCAAACCGGAGTGCTCGATCGCTATTATCATTGGCTCGAACCTTTCTGGAAGCCCGGCCAAAAGCAATGATGCAATTCACTCTTCACAGATTTCAAACCCTTTTCCCTTTAAACGCTGTGCCGTTTCAACCACTTGAGACACGTAGCTTGTCATGGATTCACTATTTTCTAAGCGGATGGATATCAATGTTCGCAGTAGACTGATTTTCCTAGTGAATCCGGTGTCATCGAATAGCTGCTGTAACTTGTTCCACAACGCGTTTACAGTTATCTCCGTCTTAATATGAGCGTACAATGAAGGGTCGATGGTCATAACCAGCTTTGCTTTATCCTTCACTTGCTCACTGTCACTCAAATCCGGTGAAATATTGTCCAAATCAACGCCTTCTAACACCATTAAGTTTTTTACTGCAAACGCCCAGTCATCATAATTTTCGCGTCCTTTCAAGTTTGGTACACTTAATAAATAACTAGATGACGACATGGTTTCCAAAAAAAAACGTAAGTTAAAACTACTTTAAACACTTATTGACTTGGAAAATGCGGGACTGGGCCCATAACCTATTAAAACACGGTAGTAGTTGTGACAAGACTGACATTTATTTTGTAAAAAGGTACAAGTCATTCTATATTACCACAGAGTAAACATGAGCATTGCCATATCACACCCAATAGAGCTAGTAGTACACATTATTTTGATAATCTATAACAAGTTTCATGCACAATCATATTCAAATAATCATCGTCCAAAAGTAACCGAAATGCTTCATATGCATTTGATGGAGCTGGAACTAATAACTCTTGAGTTTTAGTAAAATCTATGATCTTCAATGTACCATCGGAAGTCCAATACGAAGTGGCTCCTTGTTGAGATGGCTGCTGGTTCTCAGGTTGTGAAGGTTCACGTCTAGCGGAAAGTGTCGGCGGCGTAGGGGAACTGGCAACGTTTTCATTACGAAGTGTGGGGATTTCCTGAATTGACAAGTTTGGAGTGGGAGCCGATGACCTTAGTAACGATACAGATGGTGTTGTATCAACGTCTACCAATAAATTGTCAGGAATGTCAGGATACATGCCATAATCTTGTATCACATCCGGCGAGTTAGGGTTATCCCTTTCTGTCGATATTTGACGAGAAGGCATCACTTCATTGCTACCCGCCTGATTTTTTGGGGGTATTTATGTGACAGTTTTAAAGGGTCACGGCTCACTGCAAGTCTATTTTTGCAAGACTTGCTCGAAGCAAAAATGCTCTCATCACTGGATTCCGTCTCTTCTTCCTCTTCCCATTCCTTATCCCCATCACTACACTGCGAGAAAACTTCTTCCTCACTAGAGCAATCACATTCATCAGAAAAAAAATTTGTGCGGCGTTTTTTAGCACGAGAAGTCAGTATACTTGTTTTACTAGAGCGCTTTGAAGGCCCGGGCTTATCGCTCATTTTGCGCGAAAATTGTATATTTTCAAAGGCTCATATAATAAGAACCGGTCACACAAATAAAAATCCGAAAACGGTTTTCGCAAGTTCTTGAATTCGAGCGTATGGCCAACTAAAAAACGTGTGCGCTTCGCAAGAGCCGATGGAATACTAACGCATGCAAAATGTACGGGCGCGAGCCACGGCGCCGTTTAGCCAGCCCCCGTACCACTCCACGGCGCCGTGTGTTCGGCCGCACACAACTTCACGGCGCCGTGTAATTGGCACTGTATGTGTTAACAAATAATTTAGTGAAAAACAATAATAAAAAAATTTAAAGAAGTTAATAAATGTCTACTTCATTTGTTATATATGCCAATATTTTTTCCGATTGATTGAAGAAATAATAATTTTGATAAAGAAGTACCTTTCAATCTGTTTCTCTGTTGATAAAGCGTTGAGCCAGCTTTTGAAAATAACCGCTCGGAAGGCGTTAATGTAGCGATATCGATGGACAAATATCTCATCGCAAATTTTTTTTTAATTTTGGATAAGTAGAACCAATAACATTGTGCCATACATGCATTGGATCATATTTTAGATCAACCACCGAATTTTTTAAAAAATAACTTAATGCCCTCAGAGCATTTCCAGCTCTCTCTGCGAAGGTTGCTAAAAGAAAGGATGCTATTTTTTTTTCTTGTACGAGTTTATAGTGGTCGTTCCACAGATTAAACTCCTCTGGTTCATTGCGTTCCAATTCAATTTCGTCACGATTCTCTTCTTCTTATGTTACCTGTAGCTCTGCAGTGGTTATGAATTCCATTACATTTCTAATTGTTTTAGTTTAGAAATGTAATTTTTTAAAACGGGTATCCAACAGAGTTGAAATGGCAAGTATTGTCACATGATCAGAAGGCAACAAACGTCGTTCTATTTCAAGTAATACGTTATTATTGAGATTTTCTCCGGTGGCACTTTTAGGCTGTAAGCTGTTGATTTCTAAATTCAACATTCATGTTAAGGGAATTACTTTACTACTTGTCACAAAATTTTCTCCACATACTTCCCGAATCGTGACTTCTATAATAATAATAAATAAATAAATTTTATTTCGTTTTTAAAAGTAAAAACTAATAGATTGGAACCTCCATTTAAGCAAATAATTCTTGTGTTTGGAGGGTCCGTCCTTCCATTACTATATCCATGTTACAAGGCAGTATGGGTAAACTTAAGTATGTAAATACTGTATGGTATGTGAGTGAAAGATTATCTATTTATGTATACGCATGTGTGTGTGTGTGTGTTGTGTGTGTGTGTGTGTGTGTCTGTGCTAGCGTGAATTAAAATGAGTGTGTGTGATTAGAATGTCTAAGTGTCTGAATCTGAAAAAATCATGTAACATGATCCAGAAGCCTCTCAGTTTCGTCACATGTCTTATGTTGAATCCATTTCAACAAAAGTTTTTAACAGTTGTGATATGTTTTGTCATATATATATTTGTTTATTTTATTATAAAGAAAGGCAGAACGCAATATATATTGTTTGCTTGCAAATGTGGTTTTAGTTCTATACGTCTGGGCAACCATATTTCTACGTCGTTTATTTAAATGGCGTGGATCATAAGATAATGATTTGTGAGTATTGGGGATTGTCCAGAATATATACAACTTCCTGACAGAGAGTAAACCACTGATACGATATAGAAGATAATCGAAAAACTGTTCTAACAGCGTACCATGGCTTTGTGGCTTCGACCCTGCCATATGGTATCATATTTTGGGGACTATCAACATACAGGGAATTAATTATGATCCCATATATAGCTCAAATACACTCAAAAACATATAATATGGGATCTCTTAAGATATTAACATTACCCTGTATTTATATACTAGAATCGTGTATGTTTGTAAAGTGTAATCCGGAACTTTTTAATATAAGAGTACAACCATCTTCGGTTAACCTTCGTTCTCGGAAACAAAAAATCCAGACAAATTTATGTAAAACTGCCATTATGAAAAAAGTGTTGTTGAAATGGCCCCTAAATTGTATAATAAATTACCTGATCACATAAAATGTTATAATGTCCAAAAATTGAAATCGATACTCAGTAAATTTCTTATATAAAATTTTTATTATAATTTCAATGAATATCTATTTACTAATAATTTAAATATGTAATTTAGTAATATTATTTTGACTCTACTTAATTTAATTGTTATTTTGATTTGTTTTTCATATATATTTCATTTTATGATATATGGATATATAAATTCGTATGCTGTTAAAGCATTTCAAGGAGGTACTATAAAATTATAACATTGTCAACCTTGTTACCTGTGGAAACAAATAAAATGATTGATTGATTGAAAAGCGTCTCTTCTTAAAGTTCTATAAGTCGCAGAATTTCACATTGATTTAGTGGTTAAATCCCGTTTTTATAAAGAACATTTCTTTTCAAGTTCGATTAAACATATGCTGAAACGACATCAATAATATCGTCAGCACTACAAAGAATTGAATTGAAAGGTTTCAAGGAATTGACTACACAGACTCTATGGGTTCACAGTTATTGGGTAATTCAATCAGACTTGGACATAAGAAGGTTCAGCTTTTCGAAACCACTATATACTTCAAATTTGTGTGCAAAACCATAAATGCTACGAATTAAAAATAATTTGACGCCCCATTTGTTCAGTTTATTTGGTAAATACTGCTTCATGTAATGACTCATTTTGATAGCATACAATTGCTGAAATCAATAGAAAACCGTTGTTCTAAAGGAACTGTCTCAAATCTGTCACTAAAGACATCTAACAAAGGCTGAAATCTTGAAGCAAACCCAAATGATTCCTCTAATGCCTCTCTTCATCCAGTTCTTCTTCATCAGATGTTTCTACACCATCTTCTGAGTCATCAAAGTACTCAAGTATGCTTCTATGTGCCGATCTGATAGCTGCATCGACATACTTAACAAACAAACAAACAAAACCGTTACTAATTAGATTTAATACTGAAATAAAATCGATAAACTTTATTCTCAATAACTCTTTGAAATATGTATCAATGCGTAATGTTGCATATATGAAACAAATTTAATTTACTTCATATTTGCAGAATTTTTAATTTATTTGAAATACTGTTATATGTCCTTTTTACAGTAACATATTTACTATCAAATTGTAATTAAATAATTTTAACTTACCTCGGAAAACTTTAAGAAATAACAACAAAAACTAATTGGAGAAAAATCTTTTTTTTGGCGTCCACGAAAACCCACAGTAAACTGACAATAATTGAAACATTTGAATGACAGTGACAAATCAACTATCAATAAATTATGAAGGAGACCATAGTTTTTGATAATATTCGTTAGAAAATTAAATTTCGTTCAGTAATTTTGTTTAAAACCGTTCGAGAATTTGTTGCAATTAGCGAATTTAAGGGTTAAAGTTTATTTCATATAAGTATAAAACCCTATTGCGTATTTTGCCTTAAAACAGTAAGATTCGTAAATTAGAATACGACTGCGTGGGATTATATATCGTGCCAGCTAGCCGCTCAGACTTTGTCTGCGCAATCCTCAGCTGTGAAGCAGTTTCTCGTACTATACATAGAATTCTTTGTATTTTTGTTTCAATTAGACACCTCGATTGGGGCAGATAAAATTCCAGGAACATAAATAAACATAACACAACTTAACTACATACTTTATATTACATAACGCAACTTAACTCTGCTGTAACAAATTCAGCGCTAGACGCCAAACCTTTCGAAATGCTATATTTTTCTTAATAATTACAAAACCAAAAGTGACAACGTTTTTCATGGTTAAGCAATCGACGCTCAGGACCAGTGGATATAGAGATATCTGAATATCCATTTAATGATGTAATTTAGCTTACACGTAACATTTATTTATTTCATTTCAAAGAAATACTAGAAATGTTATTTTTAACATTGCTAATATTCAATTCAATCCCCTTAACCACGTCGTCATAAAATTGTATTGTAACACCAATAAAACTCCTGCTATGCGTAGTATCAGTACAGATATTGGTTGTGAGTGCTATACTATTGTTACGAGCTTGAGGTTCGTGACAATAAAAATGGCGCTGGCGGTTGAAAAATTAGTGATGTCATTTTCTGGAAAGCTCCCCTCGCTCTCGTCTCTGACACTAGATGGCGCTAGTGTCGTCGACTTAGGCGCGTAACACTATTTAACCCTTTAATTTTTTCTTTGAAAAGGTTCTGTGTAACTTCATATTGGTCGTCTAACATTCTCCTTAAAGTGTGTCTGGAAGGAACTATACAGAGGAGCAGCTACTGTCATTAGGTTTAAATATCCTTCATTTTCTACTATTTGGAAAGGCTGTGAATCCTTGCAAATCATGTCGTACAAGATGGAATTTGTTATCCTAATTCCTTTCGCACCATTTTCTTCGAATTCAATAACGTTCCGAAAACTGTCATTTAGAGTTGGCTGGTATGATTTTTTAAAACTAGATTGTGTATTAATACTAATGCCACTGAACTATCATAAGAACTACAATCAGTTTCATGTGAATATATTTCAGGATCTAAAGCAGTGCTAAAGGAAGCCAACACAGCAGGACTACAGGAAGCTTGAGCTGTGGGTTTTTGTATTAATACGTCTTTATCTATACTATCCTTACTTTTCTGTTTCCCCAGTAATAACTCATGCAACTTTTCGATGTACAGTTTTAAGTTTGTAGTGTTAACACAAGTTTTGAAAACTTGAGCATGTGCGACATTTTGCTTTACCATTGCTAATTTTTTCAAAAAATTCTCAAAATCTACTTTTCGGAGGCATCGCAGCAGTGTTAACCTTAAAAATATAACAATTTAGTTTTTTTCTTAAATCCTAGAAATACCAGAAACATATAGTAACTAAAGATCTAGTAAGAACATGGAAAATGCTTTTTAACTTTACGACATTTTAGTGTTGCTATTTTGACCTTTAAGTGCTGTGATATGAACACTCGCAAGTCTCGTATGAAAAAATTTACAATGGGACCTAATTTACGATTGAGAAGTAGTTTTCATATTAACCACATGTATCACGAATTAAATAAATATATAAAAATCGCGAACGAAAAAAATATAATAGATTATAGAAAAAACATTAACAAACAAAATAATATACTTTTCCGTCACCTTTGTTCACAATTTTTAATCAGGCAGTCCAAAACGACGGTATCCATAGCCCTTCATAAAATGCGCAGTCGCATATATCACAAACTAATACACCATCATCATCATCATTACAACCCTTCACAATTCCGCTGCTGAACATAGGCTCCCCCAAGTAATGCCACAAAGCACGGTCCTGAGCCACCTGCATCCATCGACTTTCTGCATGCCTTACCAAGTCGTCACTCCATCTAGTGGGGGAGTTGCCCTACACTACGCCTACCGGTACGAGGCTGCCACTCGAGAACCTTTTTCCCAATCGGTTATCGGTTCTTCGAGCTATATGGCCGGCTCATTGCCACTTCAGCTTACTAATCGGTCGGGCTATGTCGGTCACTTTGGTTCTACTGCGGATATCCTCATTTCTGAGTTTATCAAAAAACTCAGAGCATACACCTAACCTATTATATAACCTCTCCATAGCTCGCTGAGCGACCTTGATTGTCCTCATATGTGACCAGCAGTAAAGGAACACGTCTCAAATCCGTAAGTCATCACATGCAACACGCACTGGTTGTACAATCTAGTTTTCAGAGTTTGAGGTACACCTGACGAGAAGATGTGTCGTAATTTCCCGAACGCTGCCCAGCCGTGTTGAATTCATCGATTGACCTCGTGGTCAAAGTGGGACTTACCTATTCGGACTGTTTGTCCCAGGTAAACGTACTCGTCAACAACTTCTAGCATAGTGCTCTCAACAACTACCGGCGTAGGTGTGACATGGACATTAAACATGATCTTTGTTTTGTCCATGTTCATCTTAAGACCTATCCGTTGGGAGCCACCATTGAGGTCATTGAGCATAGTGCTTAGGTCCTCCATCGATTCTGTCATAAAGACTATATCGTCGGCAAATCGAAGGTGAGTGATGTACCCGCCATTGATGTTAATACCGTATCCTTTCCATCCTTTTTGACCACGGGAACAATAGGTGTGGCCCAGTTGGAGCGGTTCACGGGAGTCAGGATGTCGTGGCGCACCATGTGATGCAGCGCGCGTTCCACGGGTGCCCGCAGTGCGTACGCCACGGGCCGCGCATGTGGATGCGCACTGTGCCGCCCGAGAATCGCCCAGACCGTCCGCAAACACTTCACAGTATCTGGAACTGAAAGCGTCCAAACTGAATTCTTCATTTACATTATTTACACAATTAAATTTGGAAAGTTGTACATTCAGCTCTTTTAACTATTGCCTACACAGTAGCGGAGTATTAGCGCCCTCTAATACACACGAGTTCAAATATTTCCTCTTATCATTGTACAAAACTAGTTTTATTACACCAACGGATCGAATTTACTTTCCGGTATAGTATCTTAACTTCAAGTTAGATTGCTTAATCTCTAAATCTTTAAATAACTTTAAATGAAGTTCGTAACTTATGCAAGACACTGCACTATCAAATGCCAAAATTGTCACATTTCAAAGCTATATTTTTGCCGTGTATATTAATCATTATCATGATGATATCACATCAATCTTTATATATAAAAAAAAAAATATATATATATAAAACAAAGACGGGTTTGTTACAACACTTATAACTCGAGATCGGCTGGATCAATTTTCATGGTTTTTGTTTCGTTGGATTTGTCTCCGCCCTGAATAGCAGAATACATTTTAAAAACAATGAAAACTTGACGAATACATAATTATGAAAATGAATCATTTTCCATTTAATTATGTTCCTTTGTTTCGTACCTGTCAAACATTTGTTTTCCTCCTGTCATCCTGTCAAATACTGTGATTGACATTTATGCATACGTTCAGAAATGTATTTTGTGTAAACTATTTAAAAAGGGTAAATAAACTTTTGTCTGTATTTTTTTAATCAATTAAAAAGGTTGAAAAGTGTATTAAGCATATTTAAATAGAAGTTCCTCAAATATTTATGCCTCCGTTCAGAAATAATGACAAATTGTTAAAATTTACGCGTACGTTCATAACTTTATTTTGCGTAAATTAAAGTTTCTATTTTCGAAAACAATTTCTAAGATTTATTATTTAAGTTATCGAAAGCGTAAATGTCTTTTTATGTTGTCTATGATTTTCTAAGATATATAATTACAAAGGTTAAAAAGTGCAGTATCCAAAGTAGTAGTCTATGATCTAAACTATTGTCAATCACTGTCTATGTCACGGAAGTTCAGCTACTGTTATATTTGTTTGTTTTGTGTGGTTTTGTGCGAGTACATATTCAGTATTAGTATTAGTAACAATGCCACGTCCTAGAAGATCTAATCTTTCCCAGCGAAGCCGTACTGCAATTAGGCAACGGAACATCGCGAGTCAATTATCTGATGAAGAACGAGACATTGCACGAGAAGAGCGCCGCGTTAGTATGGAGCGAAGAAGGGCTTTAATTCGTGCCACTCAAACACAAGAGGAAAGAGAGGCAGCCCGTGAAACGGCTAGGTTAGAAACGAGAAATCATCGAGCTTATCGTACAGATCAACAGAGGGATAATCTTCGACGTGCAAGAAGAAATGGTTCAAGCAAAAGTTGATATTGAATCGAGCAGCGTTTCTATATGATTGCACCATTGACTACAGCTTGCATCGTTTAGTTTGCATTGGTCCAATGGACGTTGTTTGCCAGCATTGTGGCGCATTGAAGTTTGCTGGTGAAACGCCTGGTTTGTGCTGCCTTAGTGGTAAAGTGAAATTGCCATTATTGGTTCCGCCACCAGAGCCATTGTGTTCCTTGCTTAATGGCGAAACTCCAGAATCACGACATTTTCTAGCGAACACTCAAAAATACAATGTCTGTTTTCAAATGACTTCATTTGGGGCGGAAATTATCGAAGATCACGGATATAATGCGACATTTAAGGTAATTGCTGGAATGTAGTTTGTTAGATTTCTATATTTGTCTTTAAAATAAAAATGGCATGTTACCATTTGAAGAAAAAAAATTGTAAATCTAACTATGCCTTCGACTTTACAGATTCAAGGCCAGATTTACCATCGCATTGGATCATTGCAACCTCATGAAGATGCACAGCATAAATTCTTGCAAATATACTTCATGGGCAATATGGAAGAACAACTTGACCGGCGTCAAGGGATCAACACAGCTACAAAAAGAGCAATTCTTCAAGATCTGCAGCAACTGCTTCATGAACATAATGCATTGGTCAGGCTGTTCAAGACTGCGTTAGAGCGCATGCCAAGTGATGATTATAAAGTTTGATCAGAGCAGATAAACGACCAGCTGGAACACACAAACGCATATTTAATGCTCCAACAATTGATGAAGTGGCAATCCTGATTGTTGGTGAAAACTTAGAAACACGTGATATTGTACTTACACGACGCAATACTGGGCAACTACAAAAAATATATGAAACACACCGTTCATATGACGCATTACAATACCCGCTGATGTTTTGGCAAGGAAACGATGGATATCACTTCAATATCAAAATGATTAATCCATTGAATGGTAAGTGTCATAGTTTTCATTTTAACTTGATATACATTTTATTCTGTTTGCTTTTGGTAACCAAAAAAAGTTGTCACTCCTAATTTATCAGAGAGTAGTTGTAAGAGTCGTTAACCCTATTAGGGGTTGTTGGTTTAGAAAATATAGAACAAAACTTAGTGATGACATTCTGTTTACCCCTTCAAGGAATACAGACGTGGATTTTTCTTCTAAAATACAAATTTTACTATATTTGTTTCAGGTGAGGAAACTACCAAGAAGGTTAGTTCGATGAATTATTACGCACATCGTTTGATGATTCGTGAATATTCTGACAATTATTTGTTGCGATTTCGTCGACTGCTTCAACAATATTGCGTTGACATGTACGTTAAAATCGAAACGGAGCGCCTGACTTTCATTCGGTTGAACCAAGCTAAATTACGTTCGGAAGAGTATATCCATTTACGCGATGCAATTAGCACAGAAGGAGATGCAGAAAATGTTGGTCGATTGACTATTTTACCGGCTACATACAAAGGTAGCCCGCGTCATATGATGAATATGCGCAAGATGCAATGACAATATGTTCGTCATTATGGTCGGCCAGATCTATTCATTACATTTACATGTAATCCGAAATGGATGGATATTATTCAACTGCTGTTTCCCGGACAAACATCAAGTGATCGGCCTGACATCACCGCACGTGCTTTCAAGCAAAAAATCCGGTCACTGATGAATTACATTGTTAAGCAACACGTCTTTGGGACTACTCGATGCTGGATGTATTCAATCGAATGGCAAAGACGAGGCTTGCCGCATGCGCACATTCTAATTTGGTTAGTCGAAAGAATTCGGCCAGATCAAATAGATGGCATCATATGCGCGGAGATTCCTGATCCTGAAACCGATCCACACCTACATGAGGTTGTAATCACGAATATGATTCATGGACCGTGTGGCACCATTAACCGCCAATCACCGTGCATGTTCGACGGCAAGTGTTCCAAACGGTATCCACGAAAATTGACGGCAGAGACCATCTCCGGCAACGATGGTTATCCACTATCGGCGTCGATCGCCAGATGATAATGGTAGAACTACCACAACTAAAGTGAGAGGAAACGATTTCGTTGTCGACAACAGTTGGATTGTTCCATATTCACCACTTCTTTCCAAAAGATTCAAGGCACATTGTAATGTTGAGTATTGCAATTTGGTCAAGTCAATTAAATACAATTGCAAATATGTCACGAAAGACAGCGACATGGCGGTTTTTGGTATCCAAGCATCCAAACCAACGATGAAATTACGTGCTATCAAGTTGGTAGATATGTGAACAGCAATGAAGCAGTTTGGCGTATATTCGCATTCCCTATTCACGAACGTCATCCCACTGTTGTGCATTTGGGGGTGCATCTAGGGAACGGTCAGAGAGTATATTTCACAGGGTCGAATGTTCAACGTGCCGAAAGACCTCCAGCGACAACATTGACCAGTTTCTTTGCGATTTGTCAAAGCGATCCGTTCGCACGAACGTTGGTTTACTCGGAGATGCCACATTATTACACTTGGAACGCTACATCGAAGAAATTTCAACATCGGAAGCAAGGCAATGCAGTTCCTGGTCATCTAGATATGCGTTCTACTGATGCTCTTGGTCGTATTTACACAGTTCATCCTAAGAATGATGAATGTTTCTATTTGCAGTTGTTGCTGGTACATGTTCGAGGGCCAACATCCTTTGAATCACTACGAACTGTTAATGGTATAATGTGCCCCACATTTCGTGCAGCATGTCAAGAGCTCAATTTGCTTGAAAACGATACTCATTGGGACACGACAATCGCTGAAGCAATTATTTCTGTATCTCCAAGTCAGATACGCACATTATTTGCTATCATCATTTCGATATGCTTCCCATCGAACCCACGAGACCTGTGGAACAAATACAAAGATAACATGTCAGAAGACATTTTACATCGAATTCGTGTCAGCACAAGAAATTCCAATCTTGAGGCGAATGAGGAGATGCATAACCAGGCTTTGCTCTTGATCGAAGATATATGTTACCTCATGTGCGGCAGTTTGTTAGTCAGGCTAGGAATGCCAGCGCCAGATCGCGGAATGAATGACGCATTTAATAGAGAACTGAAACGTGAACGTGAATATGATCCACATGAATTAGTCCAATCAGTTCAAACGAATGTACCACTGTTGAATCCTAAACAGAGGGAAGTCTATGATACATTGATTAATGCAATTGATGATGGAAATGGTGGCTTATTTTTTCTGGATGCCCCCGGTGGAACTGGAAAAACATTCCTCATGTCATTGATTTTGGCCACTGTACGTGCGAGATCCGAAATTGCTGTAGCAGTTGCTTCTTCTGGAATAGCGGCCACATTGTTAGACGGATGCCGTACGGCTCACTCAGCGTTAAAATTGCCATTAAATCTTCAAACTACTGAACAACCGACGTGTAACATTTCGAAACACTCCGCAATGGCCAAAGTTTTGGTAGCATCAAAATACATAATATGGGACGAATGCACAATGGTGCACAAAGGCGCATTGGAAGCACTTGACCGAACATTAAAAGATCTGCGCAATGACTCGAGATGTTTTGGTGGTGCGATGATTTTACTATCTGGCGATTTCCGACAAACACTACCAGTCATTCCAAGAGCTACTTCTGCCGACGAAATAAACGCTTGCCTCAAAGCATCAAATCTGTGGCGATATGTGAAGAAACTTCAACTGTCAGTAAATATGAGAGTTGCATTGTTGAACGATCTATCTGCTGATGATTTCTCTAAGCAATTGCTGACTATCGGTAATGGCCGTGTTCCTGTTGACGAATCGAGCGGATTGATGTCATTTCCTCCAAATTTTTGCAATTTCGTCTCATCGAAAGACGAGCTTATCAACAAAGTATTCCCGGATATCATTGCTAACTACAAACATACTAAATGGTTAAGTGAGCGTGCAATTTTGGCGGCTAAAAATAAAGATGTAGATGACCTAAATTTTATAATTCAGAATCAAATCGCAGGTACTCTGCATTCATTCAAATCTATCGACTGTGTAACAAACGAAGATGAAGCCACTAATTATCCAACTAAATTTTTAAACTCCTTGGATGTGCCTGGTTTACCACCGCACAATTTACAACTGAAGGTTGGCTCGGTAGTAATTATGCTTAGAAATTTAAACCAACCAAAACTGTGCAATGGAACACGTTTGGTGATAAGAAAACTGATGAGCAATGTGATTTACGCGTCGATACTCAAAGGAAAATTTAAAGATGAGGAAGTTCTCATTCCAAGGATTCCGATGATCCCAACGGATATGCCCTTTGAGTTTAAAAGAATTCAATTCCCAATTCGTCTTGCCTTCACCATGACGATTAACAAATCACAGGGCCAATCCTTGACTATTTGTGGCCTCAATCTAGAAAATTCATGTTTTTCTCATGGTCAATTGTACGTGGCATGTTCACGTGTCGGCAAACCATCCGCTTTATTTGTTCTTGCGCCTGACAAAAAAACAAAGAATGTCGTTTACCACAAGGTGCTTGAATGAAAAGAGTTAATCGTTTAATTCAGTCATTTTTTGCTGACACGTGTTTGAAGTACTTAATTTTTTTTAATTCTCTTTCTATATGTATTATTTATCATAATAAAATACTTTTTTTATATCTATCTGTATTTTTATTTTGTATCATTGTATTACGTTCATCAAAGCCTAAATTAGTTCAGCTAAAAGGTAACACGACATTCATTGACTGTTAGGCGGTACGAAGTTCGCCGGGTCAGCTAGTTGATTAGATAATTTATAAATGTTCTTTATCATTACCTCATCACTCTCCCCGCTGTCGCCCTCTTTAGGTGTTGCGGAGTTTGTCACATCGATTTTATGGTGATCCGTCAAATAATGGCAGACCCGATGTAAATGTTCCTGCCTGTTGCACACTCGGCACACGTATCGCACAAATTGACATCGCGAACTATCGTGATTACAACCGCATGGGTGCGGCCCTTGTATGTCAGCTCGCTGTTCGTCGTGCGCGCTGCGTCC